ATATATATATATATAAACGTATACAAGTTTTTTTTTACATACAGACAGACAGACAGACCGACCGACAGACAGACAGATAGACTGACTGAAAATAAATTGATTACATTTCTATATTACTTAAAGGGTTAGTTCACCCAAAAATTTAAATTAGCCCATACCTTCAAGTCATCCTAGGTGTATATGACTTTCTTCTTTCAGACGAATCCAGTCGGAGTTATATTAAAAATTGTCTTTGATCTTTCAAGCTGTTTCATGGCACTCAGCGGGTGTTGCATGCATCCGTCCAAAAGCAGTTAATTAAAATAATTAAAATATAAAAAAAAAGAAAAAGAAAAAGAATGTTAATTAATTAAAAGCAGTTAATTAAAAGCAGTTAATTAAAATGAGACACTTTAATTAAAAGTGTCTCACACGGCTCTGGGGAGTGAACAAAGGCCTTCTGTAGCAAATCGATGCGTTTTTGTAAGAAAAATATTCATATTAAAAAATTTAATAATTACATTAATGTAGCTTGCACTCACTGTTGTACACTGGAAGCAGTTCCGGACGGATGACGTATGGAGGTCGGCTTTGCGCATGCGCCACTCAGAAGTGTAAGAAAAAGTGATGAGGACGTCGAAGATCTTTGATGAAGAATAAGTTTTATTACAGAGTAGCAGTGACAAAGTACAAACAGCACTTCGGATTCAGTCGAAATGAACCCCGAACATCCTAAGCTCAAACCTTTTATACTGTATTACGTTCATCTTCCCGCTCAAAATGTAAATGAAGTTTAGTTTTAAATGTAAATTGCGGATAACAATGAAAGTGATAGCCTTCCGTTCCCACATCTTTGATAGATTTTCAGGTGGGAACAACCAAATGTTAAGGTGATAAGATTAAACAGAATCCCTAGCAGTTATTTCATGTACCCTTTTGGTCAGCAGATGGTTCTTGATGGCCTGCTACTACTCCCACGCTATAAGTGACAAATTATCGCTCCGGAGGTACTATTGACATATTATTAAGATTGGAAAGAACTATCTCTATGATAATTAAGCTCTTTGTAGGGAAAGGAGCATAGTTTAACACAATTTGGAGTGGAAGCTGGGTCGAGGCAGACTATAATTTCTTATAGATGTGAAGCACGCGTAAGCGCAGGGATCAAAACAAAACAACGGTCACTAATTAGATGTACAAAACGAGGATTTGTAAAGAAGAATGTCGGAGGATTTCGATATAAGCCAAGAGCAGACTGGTTTTCCTTTCCTAAAGTAAGGAAACTTTGCTTCCTTTGCTCCTGTTGACAAACGTTGGTTTTCACGAGACTCACCGGTGCATGTGCAGCGCTGACCTCATACGTCATCCGACCGGAACTGCTTCTGTGTACAACAGCTATGCAAGCTAGATTAAAGTGATTATTACAGTTTGAATATGGATATTTTTCTTACAAAAACACATCGATTCTCTACAAAAGGCCTTTGTTCACCCCCGGAGCCGTGTGAGACACTTTTTTTTCTATGGATGGGCGCATTTTAATTAACTGCTTTTGGACGGATGCATGCAACACATGGATGCATGAGTGCCATGAAACAGCTTGAAAGATCAAAGACAATTTTTAATATTTTAACTACGACTGGATTCGTCTGAAAGAAGAAAGTCATATACACCTAGGATGATTTGAGGGTGAGTAATTTATTGGCTAATTTTCATTTTGGGTGAACTAACCCTTTAATAATTAAAAAAAATCAAGAATAATAATTTTGAGTTATAATACTAATTTATGTGCAAATACTACACTATAAATATACGGTAAACTACTTACTTTTTTAAATGCATATATTTATGTTGCATGTATAATTCAACAAATGGCATCCAGTTATAATCTTAGAAATAAAATCATTAATTAGCATTTTGCATTTTTCAACACAATGGACATGCAAGTTGATCACATTGCATTGTATTGTATCATGCAGTATTCAGCACAGTGTGTTCTGCTTGTATACTGTATTCCCATGCAACATAGAAAGTGCATTGGGTCATCTATAACAGTATGAACATTCTCACTGTGTTGATCATGTCCTGCAGTACAGGTGAGCGCAGCAGACCAGAGGCTGCGAGTGTTTGACTCCACCCAGCGGAGGTGGAAACACGTCTGCTCATCCAGCGCCAACCAGCTCATCGCCAACATCAGCTGTGAAGAGATGGGCTTCATCAGGTAACAAACACATGACACGCACCAGGCTCACAGCTAACTGTGAGAAATTTAGTCAAGCCGGTTTAAAATATGACTGGAATTCATCATTATTTCGGTCATGTCTTGATTTGCTTTTTACTCTCTAATCAGAGCAGTGAATTTCTCAGTGACATGTGCTCCTGATAATGGTGGTGACCGAGATTTTTTCTGCGTAAAAGAGAGTGAGTTAACTTATGGGAAGAAGATAAAAACAGCCCTTTATCCTTGGTAAGTTACATACAATTAAAACTGGACTAAATTTGAATGGTCATCAAGGCCATCAGCATATTAGATTATTCATTTTCATTTGATCATATGATTTCTGAAGGATCATGTGACGCTGAAGACTGGAGTAATGATGCTGAAAATTCAGCTTTGCATCACAAAAATAAATTGCATTTTATAATATATTAAAATAGAAAACAGTTATTTTAATATTTCACAATATTAATGTTGTTACTGTATTTTTTATCAAATAAATGCTGCCTTGATGAGCACGAGAGACTCAAAAGTCCTTGAAAAGAGCCAATGTTGCCTAGACATCATATTGCAATTTAATTTGGTTTCGTTAGTGGTGCAGAAATAAAAAAATTCATCTTTAACAGTGAATCAGATTGCTTTTTAATCTGGCAAACAAAAAAGAAACACTAACTAAAAGCGAAAAAGAGTTGCAATTTTGTTAACCTCTCTAAAACTTTCTAATGATTTATTTCTGTTTCAGTAAATGTGACAAAGGTCAGATACTTGAGGTGATTTGTCAGGTTGCATAGTAAACATCACATGTGTTCTGATTGGCTGTGATTATGCATATTTGCTTTTAGTTTGGATGGAAAAAAATTACTGGAAAAGTTTTTATCTCTCTGAATAAAAGTATCTTTGAAATGTTGCTGTAAATGTCATGTTGGTTTTTTTGTGTGCTGTGTTTCAAGGCATTTAAAGGGTCATATGATGATGCTAAAAAGAATGTATTTGGTGTAATGAAATGTGTTTATGCGGTTTAAGGTTAAAAAAAACATTATTTTCCACATACTGTACATTATTGTTTCTCCTCTATGCCCTGCCTTTCTGAAACGTGTCGATTTTTACAAAGCTCATCGGTCTGAAAAGCGAGGTGTGCTCTGATTGGCCAGCTATCCAGTGCATTGTGATTGGCCAAATACCTCAAGCGTGTGACGGAAATACTATGCCCCTTACCATACTGTGATGCCATGTCCCGCGACGAGCGACGAGACAAAAACATTAAAACCCATTATAAACGAGGCATTTGTTGCATCCAGTGGGGATATAATTACGGATTATAATGACTTATATTACGCCTTAACCACTGATTTCTAGTCGTGTCCTCTTTTGGACGGCCAAAC